TTGACTTCTTTCAGACCTTCTCCCCTACCCCGAAGATGACCACTCTTCGGGTACTTCTGCACGTTGCTGCTCAGCGTGACTACGAGCTCCACTCGCTTGACTTCAGCACAGCCTTCCTACAGGGCAGCCTGCATGAGGAGATCTGGCTGCGCCGCCCACCTGGCTTCACTGGGTCGTTTCCTGCTGGTACCCAGTGGAGCCTCCGGCGGCCAGTCTACGGTCTTCGCCAGGCACCCCGTGAGTGGCACGACACACTCAGGACGACTCTTGCTTCTCTTGGTTTTGCTCCTTCTACTGCTGACCCTTCTCTGTTCTTACGCACTGACACTACTCTGCCGCCGTTCTACGTTCTTGTGTACGTAGACGACCTCGTCTTTGCTACTGCTGACACTGAGGCACTCGCCCACGTGAAGTCTGAGCTGCAGAAGAGACACACGTGCACAGACCTTGGTGAGCTGACAAGCTATCTTGGCTTGCGGATCACCCGGGACAGAGCACAGCGCACCATTACCTTGACTCAGTCACACATGGTGCAGCAGGTCCTTCAGCGCTTCGGCTTCACGTACTCCTCGCCACAGTCCACTCCTCTGCCTACCGGTCACTCGCTCTCAGCTCCACCTTCGGACGAGTCCGTAGAGCCGAGTGGCCCGTATCCAGAGCTTGTGGGCTGCCTCATGTACCTGATGACTTGCACACGACCTGACCTCGCATACCCTCTCAGCCTTCTGGCTCGCTACGTGGCTCCCGGCAGGCACCGAAAGGTGCACTGGGATGATGCGAAGAGGGTGTTGCGATACTTGTGCAGTACATCGGGCATGGGGCTCGTGCTTGGAGGACGGGCTCGAGTTGTTCTCACTGGTCACGCTGACGCCTCCTGGGTTGACGACTTGGCTACGCAGCGGTCATCACAGGGCTACATCTTCTGTCTCTTGGCGGTCTACCCGCTCTTCTTCTGTTCTCAGCTCCAGTTGTGAGGCTGAGATCTACGCTGGGGCCATGGCTGCACAGGAGCTACGCTGGCTTACCTACCTGCTGACCAACTTGGGAGATGCGCCTCGTTCTCCTCCAGTTCTGTACGTCGACAACAAGGCCATGCTGGCCTTGTGTCAGGAGCACAGACTGGAGCACAGAACGAAGCACATTGCTCTGCGCTACTTCCTTGCTCGAGAGTTGCAGCAGCGTGGCCAGCTTCGTCTTGCGTACGTTGCTTCTCAGGCCAACACTGCTGATGTTTTCACCAAGGCACTTCAGCCTTGTGATCATCAGCGCTTCTGTACTGTGTTAGGCCTTGTACCTACTGTGCCTCACTTGCTTTCTTCTTGACTATGCCTGTACTGTACTCTTTATACATATACCTGCATGCTTATACTTGCTAGGTTGTGTTCACTGTATTGTTTGCTTTCCTTTATATAACTCTGCATGTGAACTGGCCTTGTGGCCCTTTGCTTGTGCTCAGACTGCGTGGTGACTTTGTGGTCCACCCTGAGCTTGCTTTGCTTTTTTCGGCTGGTCTTGTGACCCCTTGTTCTCCCCCACTTTGCCTATGGGGGTGTGTCAAACATATATATGCTATAGTCTGTTTAGGCTGTAGTGGGGTAGTCCTTAGAGGGTACAACACTTTTGTGTTGTCTACTTGTACCCCACCTCTTTCCTAGTTCATCATTCATTCCTCATTATTCTCACAGGTACAACCCAATTAGGGTTAGTACTTGTACCCAACTCTTTGCTAGTTCATTCATTCTCGTTCGTTCTTTCTGACACTCTTATCGAGGTTCCACATGCCTCGGCCGAGCTTTAGGTGCTGCAGGTGCGAGCAGTTTTGTAGGAAGTTGAGAGTCCAGTCTTTGTACAAGATGACGTAGAACGGCGGCAGCGATATGTCGGTGCGTAGAAACAGCGACGGGTCAACATTAGAAGGAGTAAACCTCAGTGTGTCGTGCCACTCGTTTGGCGCCTGGCGGAGACCGTGGACTGGCCGGTGGAGGCTCCACTTGTTACCTGCAGGAAACGACCCAGTGAAGCCAGGTGGGCGGCGCAGCCAGATCTCCTCGTGCAGGCTGCCCTGCAAGAAAGCTGTACTGAAGTCCAGAGAGTATAGCTCATAGTCACGCTGAGCAGCGAGATGCAGCAATACCCGAAGTTTAGTCATCTTCGGGGTGGGGGAGACGGTCTGGACGTAGTTGACCACCTGTCGCTGACTGAAGCCTCAAGCAACGTAACGCGCCTTGAAGGCAGGCGGAGAACCCGGCGGCCGCTTCACCCTGAAAATCCACATGCCATCGACTATGTTCGCCCCAGGTGGGGCAACCTCGTCGACGTAGGTGCCTGTGGACTTCCAGGATGCCATCTCGGCATCCATGGCTGCCTGCCACTAAGAGGAGTAAGGACCCGTAATCGCCTCTCCGTAAGAGCGCGGGGTCGGGATGTCTGGTGCATCCGGGTCTCCCTCAGGGGCAAGCAACATGGAAGCGAAACGAGGTACAGCAGCTGCAAGACACTGAAAGTCCTGCTGTCTGTCCTCAAGGACGTCCGTGCCAAGAGCACACTCACCCCCGACGGATGGAGGACTGGCAGACTCAGACTCAGCAACAAGAGCAGTGGCGTAGTCTAGACGTCAGGCAGCAGCAAAGTCAAGTAGCTCAGCAACGAGGGCAGACGCAGCAGTGGACTCAAAAGAAAGGTCAGTGACAGCAGTGGCGAGAGGACTCAGGAGGAGGACAGTGGGACTGGCAGCACAAGCGCGGTCAGACTCAGGGTCAAGGACCTCAGGAAGAGAGGACTCAGGAGGAGGCGGCAGAGGAACACGTAGTGGAACAGAGGTAGGACGAAGTGTCATAGCGTGCGTTCCAGGGACAGGAGGAGGACGCGAACGAGGAACACGGCGAGCAGTGCGAACAGGCAAGACAGGACGAGACGCAGGTTCACGACGCTCTGTAAGACCGCCTGACTGCTCCGTGTTAGGAGAAGGAGCAGGGATCGGGGAGGCCGGCTAGAACGGTGGCTGCGATAGGTCAGGCGGCGGACACAGTAAGGGAGGAGGAAGGCCAGCAGAAGACGGGACACCAAGAACCTGCTGAAGCAGGGGAACGAAGTACGGTCGTAGCCGTACAATGCCTCCAGCACCTCTGGCTCCAGGATCAACAGCTCCAGCTCCTCCAGCTCCAGCGCCTCCCGCGCCAGTGCCTCCAGCACCAGTGCCAACAGTTCCAGCTCCTCTAGCGTCAGTGCCTCCAGCACCAGCAGCAACAGCTCCAGCTCCTTCAGCTCCAGCAGCTCCAGGCTCCAGCAGCTCCAGGCTCCGTAGTGCCTCCAGCACCTCCAGCTCGAGGGTCAACAGCTCTAGCTCCTCCAGCTCCAGCGCCTCCCGCGCCAGTGCCTCCAGCACCAGCGTCAACAGGCGGAAGTCAAGCGCCACCACACCAACAGTCCGGATTGGTCAAGTGCCTCAACCTGCAGCTGGGCGACCAGGTCCTGACGCGCAACCCAAGTCAAACTCACTCGCGAAAATTATGAAATGCTGAACACCGAAGTTCCGACCCCTCGCCGACTTCGCCAAATACGCGGACGAAGTTACAGCCCCGTGATCAACTCGTCGACCAATCCCGCATCGCAATCAACATCTGAAGTTCACGGCAAGGTTCATTTCAAGGGGTTGAGTTACCAATAAGAAATTCAGAGTGTCGCGACTCGGTGGTGTGACTCGATTTGTGAATGCATCCTTTAAAATTGTATGTGAAAATTGTTGAAGTGATATTGGAAATTCCAGAGAACTCAAGAGAGCATCTTGTACCCGTTTTCCAAGCATAGTAAGGCACCACCTTCCCTGTCTAGCTCGTTTCATGCATTGATGAGGAGCGAAGCCACAGGGAAGATAAGCGGCAGGGAATGGGGTTCGTGCGAGGAAATAGGATGGAAACGCAGTGTCTTGGTACAGTTCTTGCCGCTCGCATAATGTTCACCTTGGTAATCGTTTCCTTACAGCATTATTCTGAACAGCAGTACCATTCTGTCTGTACAATGACACTGGCATCTGTCTTAAACGCACTAGTTGATATTAATATTCGTTAGTGTTCAATGGCAGATACTTCGTGAACACGAACCTGGATATGCCATTTATGTCTGCTGGATTTTTTCGTCCGTAGAGAGCGAATGGCGAATGAGAGCACCAATGGGATCACAGTAGCTGGTAGCCGTTGAAACGCACTAAACTGTTGTGTCACAATGTGTCACATTAGCCAAGCTAACTGGAAGTGGTAGGAATGGAAGTCCCAAGAAAATGAAAAGGAAGTCGCGCGTCAGGGTGTGAGTGATGTTCCCAAGGAATGCTGCTGCTGACAGTTCTGCTGCCGCACGTGTCAGATTTCAAATTTCAAACCAAGCTGGAATCTAAGTTTGCTGACCATGCAAAGACAAAAAAGTGCAGGTGCGTTTAGACGCCGAATAGGTATCAATTTCGGGTCATTTTAGGGTGTCTTACGGGTTAGAATTTCGACACGAAGAATGGGTGTGTGCTTCTTCCGCAAATAGGATCCGTTGACAGGATGAACTGGATGGGGTCTTTTCGTGCTAGATGCTTCGCTACAAGCATGTCCCTTAAAATACAGTACACGTTGCTGCGCTGAGCTTGACATCACACGAAACGATTAGGTCAAGGGCTCAGGGTTCAGGGCTCTGTATATCAGCGCAGGGTCCCTTCAAGCTGATAAAGCAGTTGGCATGGCTTAGCAACGTGTAGCCTGAACAGCCCTCGTTCTCCACGGGAGGTTTCCAGTCCAGACTGACTAGGAAAAGAGGAGTATTTGGATTGACCTTAATTTAGGGCACGATCCGTCGGAGAGGCAACTCTTGCGTAGAGATCCATTTCCTTAGGCGCACGAGCGGCGCCCTTGAGTTGACTCACAGGCATCGCACAGGGATCGCACACGCATCGCACAGGAATTACACAGCGATCACTCGAGAAGGGAACCGCTGCTCGTTTCGGCGCACTAGTTGCTGCCGCCATGGCGCGAGGGCGAGCAGCGGGCGCGCGGGGAGCGGCAGCGACGCGCGGGGCAGGGAGGGGCGGAGCAGGGAGGGGAGCGGTTGAGGTGGGTGGGGTAACGGCGGGCGTGGATGCGGGGATGGGAATGGCGAGAGGGGTAGCGGCGGGAGTGATCGCGGCTGGAGAGGTGGTATCGCCGTTCGAGGTGACACTTGGGGGAGGCGGCATCACTGCGTGGTGCATGCACGTGCACACCGTGCTCGGCACGCGCCTGCTCGTGCCCGCCGCCCCCACCGCCACCATCAGCGACCTCCTCCGTGCGTTCCCCTCGCGCTCCCCGTCTCCCTCGCCCCCCACGCCTTCTTCATCTCCCCCGTGTCTCCAATCGCTCCCCCGTCCCCCCGCCCCCCTCGTCTCCGCCGTCCCCCCCGCCCCCCTCGTCTCCCTCGCCGCATCTTCTCCTTGAAGCCTCTCTTTCTCCCATGCCAACCGCCCCCTTCATTGCTGCCTTCCTCTGTCCCGTTCCGCCAGCGGAAACACAGTGATGAAGGGCTCGACTGAGACACAGCACATCTATTCATTCGCTCGCTGCACTCCCCATCCCACACCCCCTGCCACTCACTGCGGCTTCCCTGCCTTCGCCATGCGGTCTCCCTCTGCTCCCCTAAACCCTTGGAAAGGAAACGACGGATCACAGTAGCGTAACTCGCGCCTTAAACCCCTCGTTAAAAGTCCGACGCCTTAATTCTCCTCCTCCTCCTCCTCCTCCTCCTCCTCCTCCTCCTCCTCCTCCTCCTCCTCCTCCTCCTCCTCCTCCTCCTCTCTTTCTCTTGAACCCCTCATGTCTCCTGCACTTCCTCCCCCATGGGTGCTTGGCAGGCATGGTGGGGCAGCAGCACGAGCACATGCACCCGCACATGGGGAGCATTCGTTTCGAGTCCGTCAAGGTGTGTGCTTCTGCTTCCCACCCACCCTTGAGGCACGTGTCATGCCATTCATTTCTACATGCGCCACCCCTCCCAAGGGCACGTGTCACCCCTCCTGGCGCATACCAGTTCTTTCAAATCCATACCTTAAACCCCTCCCTAGAAGTCCACCAGTGTGTGTCCATCACTCAAATCATCGGCCTCGCAATACCAAACATTCTGCATTCGAACCCTGGATCGAGGGTTCAGGGTTCAGGGTTTTGCAACCTCCCTTACCTCGAACCCCGGACCTTGGCTCCAGCCTACCCTACCGAACAAATTACCTTACAGGATGCACCATCAAATCAAATCGAATCATACATTCTCCTCGCGGCAGTTGGCGGTTTGGCTCAGAAACAATTGGAGCCAAACTGCACTGCACCCATTCAAGAGGCACCATCATCCTTTCCCTCACTCCTTTCTTTGTCTCCACCTCAGTCCCCTCTTGTACTTCTTATCCCCCCTTTATCCCTCTCTTATCCCTCTTAATTCCCTTTTCTTCCCCACGTGTCCAACTCTTTTCCCCCATTGCTTCCGTGCTCGCCCATCAGGTGCTGCGCCAGGCCACTCTGTTTGATGTCGCCCCACAACTCAGACTGGCCCACGTGTTGAAGCCTGATGACGTCATCCTCGCTTTTACTGGGGATGCTGACGTTGCTGCTGATGTCAGCGGTGAGCTCCCTTGGGTTCTGATAGGTTGGAGGTGCCTCAGCCATCTGTGCATGGTTTTACTTGTTGGTTTCTTTGCTAGTTTTCCTGTGTCGTTTCTTCGTTCTTCGTACCTTTCCGGGCTGGGGTGAGTCTGAGCACCAAGCTTCACATGGTCAACAACACCCTCTTCGTTGCATGACCCTCTTTTTGAAGATGCGATTCAATTGTTCCCAATTCCGCCGCACACGTGCGAATGAACGGGATGCCTTTGTTCTTCAAGCCTCGCACCTCCATTTCGTCATTTTCTCTCGTTCCCCCTCTCACTCTCTGCGCCTCCTCCACCTCCTTTCACCCTCTCCATTTCATGCCTACCCAACAGACTATCTGACACACCACCTTGCCTTCGGCTTCTCCCCGCCGAGTCACGACGAGTCTCCCTTTAGCCCTCTTGACCACCACTCACCATCTCCTCACCACCAACTGCCACGTGGCAATCTCTCCAGCAACCACGTGGCATTTCAGCGTGGGCTGCTGGCTGCCCTCGCTGCTGCTGATGTGGCAGGGAGGGGGGTGGAGGCGGTCAGCGAATCAGGAGAGAGGAGGAGAGTGAGGGGGGTGGTGTTGGGGGGAGGGGGAAAGAGGATGCGGTTGGAGGGGGGGAGTGGGGAGGGGAGGGGAGGAGGCAGTGTGCCCCTGCTGACAGATGGGGGGGCGGGAGAGGGGGGAATTAGGGGATCAGGAGGCGGGGGAGGGGGAGGGGACGCGCAGGTGGGTGGACAGGTGGGCCGTGAAGGGCGTGGCAGGGAGGGGGAAGGGGTGGCGAAAGGGGGGCAGGAACGGGGAGGTGAGAGGAAACGGAGGAGGGAGAGCGAGGAAGAGCAGAGCATGGGTGATGGCACTGGTGAGGGGGGAGGTCGGGGGAAGGCAGATGGGACGAATGTAGATGCTGAGAATGCTGATGGGAAGAGTGTAGATGCGGATGAGAACGCTGATGGGAAGGGGCTGGGCGAGGGGAGTGCGGATGTGGGACGGGGAGGGAAAAGACAAAGACGAGCGGAGGGGAGTGAGAAGGATGGGGTGGTGGAGGGGAGAGAGAGGGATGGGGGGTCGGTGGATGGGGTTGAGTTGGAGGGGAGAGGGGGTGGGAAGAGGGATGAGAGAGATGCGACTGTGGGGAGGAAAGAGAGGGGTGGAGGGGATGGGATGAAGGAGAGTGAAGGGGTGAAGGGGAAAGGGAACGATGAGGTGAAAGCTATTGACAAGGTAAAGGAGAAGGACGAGGTGAAGGGAAACGAAGGGAAAGAAGGGAAAGCAGGTGGGAAGGGGAAAGCAGCAGAGGAGGGAGGGCATGAGGTGGTGGAGGAGGAGAGAGCAGTGAATGGGGTGAAGGAGGGCCGCGCAGCAGAGGGTATTGACACGTCTCAAAAGGCGTCACAGAGTGTTGGCGATAGTGCACGGGGTGTTGGGGTGAAGGGTGGTGGTGGAGAGGATGAGAGTGGGGAGATTGAGGAGGAAAGTGAGGAGGGGAGCGAAGAGGAGAGTGAGACTGATGGTGAGGAGGGGGGAGAGGAGGAGGGAAGGGAGGAGGGGAAAGGGGAAGGGAAAGATATGGAGATTGAGAAAGAGGAATCAGAGGATGGGGAAAGTGAGGAGGACGAGGAGACCGAGGGGGGAGAGGATGAGGAAGAGGAGGAGAAAGTGAGAGTTTCAGAGGCAGAGGCGAACGAAGAGGGGAAGAAGGAAGATGGTGGTGATGATTCGGACACAGAAGAAGAATCGGACGAAGAGACAGAGGAGGAGGTAGAGGAGGAGGTAAGAAAGAAAGGAAAGGTTGAAGAAAAGGAAGCGAAAGGGAAGGTTGAAGAAAAGGAAGCGAAAGGGAAGGATAAGGGGAAGTCAGACAAAGAAGAGGAGGAAGACGAGGAGGATGAGGAGGGGAAAGTGAAAACGTCGGAGGCAGAGGCAACAGAAGAGGGGAAGACGGAAGATGGTGGTGATGATTCGGAGACAGAAGGAGAATCGGACGAAGAGACAGAGGAGGAGGTAGAAGAGGAGGCAGGAATGAAAGGAAAGGTGAAAGGAAAGGAAGTGGTAGGGAAAGGTAGAGGAAAGACAGAAAAAGCGGAGGAAGAGGAGGAGGACGAGAAGGGAGGGGAAGAGGAGGAAGAAGAGGAAGGAGAGGAGGAGGATGAGGAGGGGAAAGTGAAAGCTACAGGGGCAAAGTCGAAGGAGGAGGAGAAGATGGAAACTGGTGGTGATGATTCCGAGACAGAAGAAGAGTCAGAGGAAGAGGAGGAGGAGGATGAGAAGGTGAAAGTTCCAGAGGCAGAGGGGAAGGAGGATGGGAAGACGGAAACTGACAGTGATGATTCTGAGACAGAGGAAGAGTCAGAGGAAGAGACAGAGGAGGAGGCAGAGGAGTAGGTAGAAGAGGAGGGAGGAAAGGAAGGAAAGGTGAAAGAAAAGGTGGTAGGGAAGGATAGAGGAAAGACAGACAAAAAGGAGGAAGAAAAGGAGGACGAGGAGGAGGAAGAGGAAGAGGAGGAAGAGGAAGAGGAGGAAGAGGAGTCAGATGATGAGGTGGTGGTGTTGGAGAGCAGTGCAGAGGGAAACAAGGGGCGAACAGACAAGGCTCAAACCAGATCTTCTGCTGCTGCTGCCGCTGCGAGCAAAGCAGTGGCAACGAAAGAAGCAGCAAGCAAGGCGGAAGGAAAAAAAGCTGACGGCAAAGCAGCAGCGGTGGGTAAAGCAGCACAAGACAAGCAACTAGCATTGAAGGAAGCAGGAGGCAAACAAGAAGCAGCAAGTATGGTGGACGGCAAAGGAGCAGACAGCAAGGCAGCGGTGGGTAAACAAGACGGGGAAAGAAAAGATGGAACAGCAGGATTAGGAGGGAAAGTTGTTGATGCAGAGGATGAGAAGAGTGAGGAAGAGAGCGAGGAGAGTGAGGAGAGCGAGGGGAGCGAGACAGAGAGCGAGGGGGGAGTGGAGGAGGAGGAAGAGGAAGAGAGTGAGGAAGAAGGTGATGATGAGAGTGAGGAGGAGAGTGAGGAGGAGAGTGAGGAGGAGGAGGAAGAGGAGAGGAAACTGGATGAAAAGAACAAGAAGCTCGCCAGCGCAAGCAAGGGAGCAAACCAGGGCAATGTGATGGGGGATGCCAAGGGAAAGGGGGCTGCAGGGAAGGCGGAGGGTGCAGGGAAGGCGGAGGGTGCAGGAACACAAAGTGCAGCCGTTACTGCTACTTCTGCTGCCCCTGCTGCTGCTGCTGCCCCTGCTGTTCCGGCTGTTGCAGCAGCAAAGACTGCGAGCGCCAGGGAGGCGGCTTCTCCAGCAGCTGGAAGAGCAGGGGGTAGGGGTAGAGGTGGGGGTAGGGGTAGAGGTAGGGGTAGGGGTAGGGCTACTGTGAATCCTCTTGCTCATGCTCCGCCTGTTGCTGCCGCTGCTGCCGCTGCCAAGGCCACATCTACCAGCACTGCTGCTGCTCCTGCAGCGAATGAAGTCATTGCTGCCAGTGTGGGTGCCACTGCCAGTGGGTGTGCTGCTGGGGCTGCCAGTAGCGCTGCTGCTGCTGCTGCACCTGCCACAACCAAGAAGCGTGGCCGGGTGGCTGGCAAACCCCCTCCTTCTGCCGATGTGCCTGCTGCGGCTGCTGCTACTGGAGCTGCGTCTGGTGCAGATGATCTGAATTCTGCTTCTGCGAATGGGGCACCTCCAGCAGCCAAGAAGCGCGGTAGGCCTCGTGCTGCTAAACCTCCACCCGCTGATGCTGATCCTGCGGCTTCTGCTGCTGCGGCTCCTCCTGCTGCACCTGTTAGTGCAGCACCTGCTGCTGCAGCTGCAAAAGGGAAGGCATCAGGGAGAGGGAAGGCGGTGGGACGAGGAAAGGCAGCAGCGGAGGCAGCAGAAGCAGCAGCAGCAGAAGCAGCAGCAGCAGCAGCAGCAGCAGCAGCAGCAGAAGCAGAAGCAGGGGCAGCAGCAGCAGCAGGTGGTAATGCAGTTCCTGCTCCAGACACAGATACAGCATCAGTGTCATCACAGGTACCCACAGCTGCTGCTGTGGAGCGAGTGGGAGGAAAATCATCAGCAGAGGGGAGGGCAGGAGCAGGAGGGAAGGCAGCAGCTGGAAGGGGAAAGACGGTGGGCAAGGGGAAGGCTGCTGCTGCTGCTGCTGGTAAGGCAAAAGGAGCAGAAGCGGCCAAGTCGGGTGCATCACGTGCAGTAGCAGCAGGGGCAGAAGGGCCGGCAGAGGCAGCGGCAGTGGCGGATCCAAGACCTTTTCGAATGAGCGCACCACCAATGGGGAGCACCTTCCGTTTCCCCCGAACCACTCCCCCTATTGACTCCGCTGCCCCTGTTGCCTCTGCTGCCCCCTTGCCTCCACCTTCCCCCACACCTGAACCGCCCAGGTAACTTCCTCGTGCATCCAGGTAAGTTCTTTGGGTGTCCAGTAACTTCCTTGTGCGTCCAGGAAATTTCCTTGTGCATCCAGGTAACTTCCTCATGCATCCAAGTAACTTCCTTGTGCGCCCAGGTAACTTCCTCGTGCATCCAGGTAACCTCCTCGTGCATCCAGGTAAATTTTCTGTGTGGTAACTTCCTCGTGCGTCCTGGTAGGTTCCTCATGTACCCATGTAACTTCCTCATGCATCGAGGTAACTTCCTTGTGCGCCCAGTGACTTGTTTGTGGGCCCAGGAAACTTCCTCGTCCGCCAAGGTAACTAAACCTCCTATTGCACCCAGGTAACTTGCTAATGTCATCACAGGATGTAGCCATGTGCTATGTAGCCATGTAAAAATGTGCTATTTTGCCATGTAACCATGTGCAATGTTTTATTGCATCTTTCAGTGCATACCTGTCTTTTGTTGTTGCATTCTTATTCCCCAATCAACCGTTTGCTCAGTGTATCTACTTGTTATGATGTAGTCGCATTTGCCATTTTATGCCGTCTCACTCTTTCCCACTTGTTGTTTGAGCCTGCCTCACTGACTGTTTGGCTTGCCCTTCCCCATGGTGGTTTCTCTACAGCCCTATGCCGGTCCTGGACTTGGGAGAGTCATTCTCAAGATGATCTTTACTCGTTTTTTTAGCTGTCTCAATTTGGGTTTTTTTCCCTCCCCTTGTGGTTTCTCTGCAGCCCTATGCCGGTCCTTGACTTGGGAGACATTCTCAAGATGATAAGGTAAACTGCATCAACGACGTCAATCTTGCTTCATATGCGCCTGTTCAGAGGCGCACCCCAGGGCTGTTTTTATCAGGGTAATTACTCTGATTTCAGGGTAATTACAGGCTTTCCACTTTGTGATGACTGAAATTTCAGAATTAATGAGTTCTCAACCCTGATCCAATCAGAGGAATAGATTTCCTATCCCTGATTTTGAGTATAGTGTAACAGAATAGTCTGTTAGTGGACTCTGACTTAACAGAGTATCGAGTCTGTGGTCCCTGAATTTGACCTTATCCGGAGGAAGTTTCTACGAAATTTCTTTCCGATAACCCCGCCATCGGATTGATCGCAGTACAGCCAGCGCGTGAGCGACCTCGAATGACATTATCGAAACGAAGTTTCCTCGAAATTTCCTCCCGACACACTTACCATCAAGATCGTACTGCGAGTTTCCATGAAACTTTGTACGAGTACCCCCATGTGCGTAGCCCCCTGCTTTATCGGTACGACGCTTCTTCGAACTTTCGTTCCAATACACCCACCATCGAGGTTCAGTTTCAATAATGCAGAGCGTCACTACTCTGATACTGACTTGTCGACCCTGAACAATCAGACTATACAACTTTCCAGCACTGAGCAATCAGGGTGCTGTTTTTCTAAAAAATATGCCTTCAGGGTAAAAACGAAAAATTTAGGTGGAAATCAGGGTACCTAAATTTGAAGCGCCAGCCCTGGCACCCATGCACCCAAGTAAATGGATGAACTCTGTCAAAATGTTATAGTGCTTACTTTGTGTAGGCTACAGTGGGGTAGCCCATAAGGGGTACAACCCAATTAGGGTTAGTACCGTCAGCCCCCGGATAGTAGCGCCCCTGGGGGTATAAAAAGACACTATTTTTAGGGGGTGCGCTTATAATCGAGGAAATTTATAAGCGCCGGCGTTTATAAAATGGCAAAAATGAAATGTATTGTTTTAACATGAAATTTAAGCCTTTTCAAAAGGGGATTCAATCAACATCTAGAACGTTCGTAACCGTGCATGAAAAGTGTGTCAAATGGCCAACAAGGCGTAGAATCACGCCCATCACGCCTTGCTGGCCTGGCCATATTCATCGAACATGAATCTGGCCCATGCCAGCGCATACGTAGTGTAGGGTGCGACTACCCAATCAGGGTCGCATACCGTGCCAGGCACGACACTGTACAACCACGCAATTGGCAGAAGCGGCAAGATTCCACCCCACCGAGGCATTGACCTCACCACCTCAGCTCCTCTGCGGGGGGATCTTGACAGTTTTCCCCCTTTCCCTGTAGAGGAATCCGGGCCGCGAAGTTGGAGGGGTCTCGGGCGAGGGTTTCAAACGAGGCTCATTCTCTTCGTTTTTTTTTTAGTTTTCTTGTTTTCCCTCGGCCCGCCTAGGCCATGGCGGGCCTTCCAGGCACTCACTTCCTCTTTAGCCGCAGACTTGGTGTTGACAACACTCTCGATTACTCTCAGTGGCAGAGTCGCCTAGTGCCTCCTGCTCCTCCAGCGCCTCCTGCTCCTCCTGCTCCTCCTGCGCCTCTTGCTCCTCATACGCTCTGCCTATCGTCGTCATCAACGGCCAGCCCGTTCTGCAGCTCCTCCCTCGCAGTTACTCAGCTTTCGACGCGTACATCTCCGAGCCCGAGCGCAGCGGCGACGATGAACCCGGCCCCGGTCTGTCGTCACGCTAGGGAGACGCGGAAGACTGCCCGTACGACGAATCCGCCACTGGTGCTGAAGACGATCTTGAGTGGTGGGCGGCCGACGATCTTCCCGAGGACCTGCGTGTCCCTAGTTTCCCCCCGCCGAATAAGAAACGGCCCCACCCCTCCAAACAGAATCGTGATGCCCGCCCCCTGTCCCCCAGGAGCAAGCCTTCAACGCACAAGCGCACCTCCTACACTTCCCAGGAAAAGCTGCAGTGGATTGCAAAGTTGGAGTCCGGAGCTGTGAGTGTGCGGAGAATGTCCCGCGACACTGGTATCTCCCGAAAGTCCCTGTCAGAGTGGAAGTCGCGGAAGGGTGAGCTGGAAGGCGCGCATGGGGCTCGCAAGCGCCTTCACGGGCGTGGTCGGGCGTCGTGGTACCGCGACATGGAGATCGAGGTGTACTCACGTGTTCTTGCCCACCGGAAAAAGTGTATCGCCGTGTCTGTCGGCCGACTGCAGAAGTGGTCACACGAGGTGATGAAGATCCTGTCAGAACATTATAGCTTATACATTTGTGTAGGCTGTAGTGGGGTAGCCCATAAGGGGTACAAACCAATTAGGGTTAGTACTTGTACCCAACTGTTTCTTAGTTCATTCATTCTCGTTCGTTATTCTAACATGGTATCAGAGCAGGTTCCTTGGGCCCACCACCTGCTACGCTGCTAGTACCCCCCCTAGGCCAGTCGCTCCTAGCCTACGCGGCCCGTCGACCCCTAACCCGCGGCTCGTCGGCCCCTAGCCCCAAGCCCGGCCCCGTTCCTAGCCCGCGCCCAGCCCCGTCAGCGCCCGGCCCGTACCAAGCCCGCGCCTGGCCCCGTCCCTCGCCCAACGCCCGGCCCTGTCTCTCGCCCGCGCCCGGCCCCGTACCTAGCCCGCGCCCAGCCCGTACCTAGCCCGCGCCCAGCCCGTACCTAGCCCACGCCCGGCTCCGTCCCTCACCCAGCGCCCGGCCCCGTACCTAGCCCGCGCCCGGCCCGGTCCCTAGCCCAGCGCCCGGCCCCGTACCTAGCCCGCGCCCGGCCCGGTCCCTAGCCCAGCGCCCGGCCCCGTACCTAGCCCAACGCCCGGCCCGGTCCCTAGCCGCACCCGGCCCCGTACCAAGCCTGCGCCCGGCCCCGTACCTCGCCCGCGCCCGGCCCCGTCCCTAGCCAGCGCCCGCCCCCCCCCTCCCCCCCACTGTCACTGCTGCTACTGCTACAGCTGCTACTGCTGCTACTACTGCTATCCTGCGTGCTGCACAGCTATGGCTTCACTTCGGGTTCTCGCGTTTGATCATGAGGGCAGACCAGTTCAGTTTGACACGTGGCTAGACGACCTGCAGCTGTACCTACTGAGCGATTCTAAGGACAGTGTCTCGCGAATTGACCTAGCGTCAGGCGCCGCTACTGCCCCTCCCGCCACAGCTGACAGTTCGACTCGCTCACAGTGGCTTACTCGTGACGCTGCTGCCCGCTTAGCCATTCGCAACCACCTGCCATTAGCTGAATGCGCTCACTTTGGACAGCACAGGACAGCGCAGGCACTGTACGATGCTCTAGTCGCTCGCTACTCCTCCCCTGCCACTGCTGCTCTAGGCCGCCTTCTTCTGCCCTACCTGTTCCCCGAGCTGTCCGCCTTTACCATAGTCGAGGACCTTGTTTCCCACCTTCGCGCTAGTGACGCTCGCTACCGCGCTGCCGTTCCTGCTGAGTTCCTTGACAGGAACCCGCCCCCGATGTACATCACTCTCTACTTTATAGTCACCCGCCTCCCTGACTCTCTTCGCTCTGTCAGGGACCACTTCCTCTCTCTTGACCCCACCTCCCTCACTGTTGACCTCCTCGAGCAGCATCTCCTTGCAGCTGAGACTAGTGCAGTTGCTGTAGGTGATGCTCGTGGCACTCCGCGTCCACCCTTCTTTGAGGGGTGTTCCCCCTCCCCCCTTGCCCCCTCCTACGCCTCTGCTGCTGCTGCTGATGTCTCTGTTCCTGAGGACGTCGGGGCTGCTTCTGCTAGTGCAAAGCGCCGCAGCAGCAAGGGCAAGGGTGGCCGGGGTGATGGAGGTGGCAGCGGGAGTGGTGGTGGGGGCAGCAGTGGAGGTGGTGGTGGCGGTGCGACTGTTGGCGGGAGTGGGGGCTCTGGTGGCGGTGGTGGAGGCAGCGGTGGGAGTGGCAGCAGTGGAGGCGGTGGGACTGGTAGCGGTGGGACTGGCGCTCAGCGTGTCGGTTCTGGGGGTGGCCAGCGTTGGAGCGAGACCCCGTCTCCCCAGCAGCTTCGTGAGTGGTTTCTGCGTGAGGCGTCTCGGGGTAGTTGCCCGTATGTCATTCGTACGGGTGACCGTGCTGGTCAGACTTGCGGGCGGCTCCACACTCAGCACCGCTGCTTCTCCCGCCTCGACGACGCTTGGCGTGCTGAGTTTGGTGACGACGTCGAGCTCCCTCGCTAGGCAGATCTGCTTAAGGCTAGGATTGCTATCTTTGACCTAGACTTTGATGCTATTCTTTCTGCTATATATGCTTTGTCTGTTAGTGCTGAGGGTGAGTGTTACCGGTGTGTGCCGCTCGACCCAGGTATAGCCGCTGTTGCTCTAGGTGTTAGTGAGTCTGGTACTCTCCCTAGTACTGCGCCTGCTGAGGCCTTGCACACTTTCACGTTGGACTCCAGCGCCTCGCGCTGTTTCTTTCGTGACAGCACCACCGTCACTCCTCTTCTGCACCTGTCCCGGTCAGACTGGCTGACCCCTCCGGGGGACCGGTCGTGGCTCGTTCCTTCACTGTCCTCCCCTTGCGTTGAGGGGCGGCAGCGCGCTGCTCCTCACTCCTCCTCGTTTCCCCCGACGACTGCTCCCCTGCAGACTCTCCACATGGACGTGTGGGGCCCAGCCCGCGTCAATGGACAGAGCCGCGAGCGCTACTTTCTGCTGGTAGTTGACGACTACACGCGGTACACCACGGTCTTCCCCTTGCGCAGCAAGGATCAGGTCGTTGATGTCTTGATCCCTTGGATCCGCACAGTCCCTCTCCAGCTCCGCGAGCGGTTCAGCCAGGACCTTCCTGTCCTGCGTCTGCACTCTGACAGAGGTGGTGAGTTCTCCTCCACTCTCTTGCAGGACTTTTGTCGTGGGGAGGGCATTCTCCAGTCGTTCACGCTTCCGGACTCCCCTCAGCAAAATGGGATTGCTGAGCGCCGCATTGGCTTAGTCATGGAGGTCGCTCGTACCTCCATGATTCATGCGGCCGCTCCCCATTTTCTGTGGCCGTTTGCGGTCCGGTACGCTGCGCATCAGCTCAACCTCTGGCCCCGTGT